GGGAATTTAAAGACTTTTTAATGTATACATACATATTTAACATATTGATCTCAGCTTTTGTCCATATACAAATATTAACCTCAGCTTTGAGTGACATATATATGCAAAAAAGCCAAGAAACTTTATTCTTCAACCATTTCAAGACAAATTAATTTCCTTTATATATTTCTAAGTAATAATCCAAGATTAAAAAAAAATGAAAATGTTATGAAGTTATAATAAAGCAGTAAATAAAGTTATTAACAAAACTGAAGAAACATTATCAGAGAGGCATCTGAATGTTGGAAATAAAACAGATTCCAAACAACTTGAAAACAACTTCAGAACGAAACCTAACTAAGCTCTTGAAAAAATGGTAAAGCAGAGTCAGATGCAAAAAGCAGAGCTGCCAAGCTCCTAGACAGAAAAACTTTTAGAATAAATAGCATAGCAATACTTCTAAAGAGTTACAGTATGGCAAAACTCAGAAGAGACAGCAAACAACTTTAGACAGTTTTATAAGAAAAATAAAAAAAAATACAAATCTAACAAGAAACACAAAGAATCCCTATTCCATTACAAAGGAGGCAGCGGATGCTGTTATCTAAAATCTAAAGAACTAAACAGACCAAGAGAAGAAAATACAAATCTAACAAGAAACACAAAGAATCCCTATTCCATTACAAAGGAGGCAGCGGATGCTGTTATCTAAAATCTAAAGAACTAAACAGACCAAGAGAAGTTTCATGAATGAATTTTATAAGGATCTAAAAAGAACTATAATTCTTCTATCCATGGAGCATTTAATCAGATCACAGATGGAACAGATGAACCTTTCATTTGGAAGACAGTAAGGATAGATATGGTTCCCAGAGCAGAGAGGGAACAGTCACTACCTATTTTGTTAAGCCTACTTCATCAAGGAACATTGATACAGGTTTTTAAACACACCATGGCAGATAAGGAACGGCAATCCTTCTAGACATATGCACCCATATAAACCACATCACTGCGATATGCTTTAAGAGCAACATTCTAGTTACTTACTATCTCCTACAGTAGACAAAAGCCCTTTGTCCCAATAGAATGGGAACATGAAGACATCATAGTGTCCCAATAGAATGGGAACATGAAGACATATTTAAAAATGTGGCTTTAAAAAGTATTTGCATTTCTGTTTTATATAAAGACCTTAGGGTTTCTGACAAAAAGATGTTCCACAAATTAATTTATATTCAGGATGACAACCTAAACTGGTACCCACTTCACTACTGCTTATTGCTCTATTTGAATGAACTCTGACCACAGCAATTATACACAAACCTCCAACAACAGATGTAAAGAACAAAGTCTAGAGGGAACAGAAGACTTGCTCTATGCAAGCAATAAGCTGCTTTTTATTTAAGACTCACTGTGTTAAAGCAGTAGTACCTCACATGAACAGATATGGCTGAGTCTCTGGACATGAAAAAAAAAAAATTGCCATAAAGCAAACATTTCTGAAAAGATGAAGTTGGGATATAAAAAAATTAGACTAAGAACTAAGAAAATTTAACAAGGCATTTGAGTATATCACCCTACTCTAAAAAGTAACTAAAAATTAGTATTTTTTTTAAATGTAAATTTCCAGGACAAAGTAACTGCCATTAACTCATTAAATGATAATACTAATTTCAAGTTGTACTTTCATGTGTATCATGCAGTAGACACCAAGAGCTTGACAAGCTATTCTCACGAACATCACCTGAAAACAGTAAGAGGCCTCAGGCAAGTACAGCAGTATTATATAAGCCTTCTAAAATTTGAAGCAACAAGTCCCTTACAGACCTGTTATACACCTATAACAGGTGTATAATCATGTAGCTTAACTGAAGCACATCTGGAATAACAGTGAATGAAGAAAAAAACAAAGATTTCTCAAAGACATGATTCAGATGTTTAAAAAAAAAAAAAAAAAACACACCAACAAACACAACCCCAAAACATTCTGTCTACCTAGGAAATCTTCAAAAATATAAAAGTCTTCATGGCAATGCCCATCAACCACCTTTGCTGAAAATACAGAATGCCTCTTAAAATCTGTCAAATATTTTAAAGGATGTCAGAGCAGGTATTCTGCAATTACATGAACTTGTTCTAGAAAGGGATGTGAAATATTAATCATCAGGTCTGCAGTGTCCCAAATGGGACAGAAATTTTTCTTTTCCAGTATCTTGAAACTTGTTATAAAAAAATAAATACCGAAAAGTTCTCATAAAAGATACTTACTCCTACTTAACAACTGACATGGGAGTACTTAGGAAAAAAGTTATTACATAATAAGACACCTCTTCAGCTCACAAAAGGATACGCAAGAAACCTAGGGAAACAAAGGCTGATATAGAGTTAGAAGGAAAAAAATAAGACAGATTGAAATTGTTATTGGAATTGCTATTTGTCTGCCAAAATTAAATTTATAGAAAATCAATTTAAGAGTTCTCTATAAACGGTACCTCTTTCTACCCAAGATCCAACAGACACATGGTCAGCACACATCATGCTGCACAGGCTTTAAAAAATAATAATTGCTGCAGTGGCTGGCAGTATAACCTAAGATCCTACACATTTTCCCTGTTGCTTACTTCAAAGAAGTTCATTGTGTAAGAAAACATTAATATCTTTCTTGTAATTACAGCTAAACTGTCCAATCATGGAAGAAATAATGTCTCCTAATAACGTGTTCTTGGTGATGGATTATGACATTGTCAGAAATACAGTTAAAAGACGGTCAGGGCCTTAGAACTACATATGGCAGTCCTGGCTTGCAAATACAACAAAGATCTACAGCCAATAAGCCTAGATTCTTAGCCAGGAATATTAACCAATTCATTTAAACATTAATATGGTCCTTTTTAAGTGCGTGTGTGTGTGTATATGATGACACATTATTACTATCCAATAACAAGACCTAACCCTTACTTTAGAAAGCTAATAGAACTGCAAAATGTTTCCTTTGCAAAGATTCTGTCACTTCAGCATCACCTAATAACCACCACATATTAATTTTTAACAGCATAAAGAAATGAATTTTTTGTCTTGAAGACCAAAAGTTCTGTAGTACCAAGTGTCTTGCAAAACAACATACATTCACAAAGAACTGAAGTAATGGATAAACATGAATAGCTGTACATGCTACTAACTATAGAAAGAGCTGTACTTTCCTCCAAATGTAACCGGAGTCATACATAGCCACTGTTAGTGTAGTATCTTAGAAAATTGACACAAGTTGGTAAATTCACAGGTCACTCCACTCAACAGAAGTGATGAGGAAGGTACAAGTATTTTCAGAAGGTACTCCTCACAACAATAGGCACAAATATCACTAATGACACATCCAGCCAAACCCATTCAGGCTACTGAGCCCTACAGTCTCCTCTCTCCTTCAATTAGGAAAAGCAACAGTTGCCATGCTATCTTCACAAAATGTTGACATTCACTCAGTTCAGATTTGGACACTGGATTCTCTTTTTCAGCCACATTGCTATTATACATTTTAAAAAAGTGGCATTCCCATCAAACTTCTAACTATTTTTCTTGTATTCTATTTCACTTATCCTGTACGATCTTACTGTTCCTCCTCTAAAATGAAAAGATTTGAAGGAGTGAGACAGTCCAGGGGAGAAATACCACTTTTGCCTTTTTCCCACACTTCACCTAAATACCAAACCTAGACTGAGAAATTTCAAAGTAGTAATAAAAGCCATGATGAAAAACTCATCCAATTTACTGTGCTCAATTATGTGCCTCCTGATGCTTCTGAGGCCTAAACTATACGTAACTTCTAAGTCCAGTACTGGTGACAGGTTATCAGGTCTGAAACCATTCACAAAGCATCACCATTCAGTGATAAGATGTCCAAGCAAACTGGTTCAGAGCACAAGGAAGAAAGGAAAAACTGTCTGTCCCTTCAGTAATGCATCTCCTGGATTCAGAAAAAGTCCTTTGTTCCTTGGAAACTAACTGGCAATCTCAGAAAACCAGAGATAAAACAGGGTCCCCCTTTCAGAACTTTCATGTCTTTGCTGATAAAAAGAATGCTTCCACAAAAGCAAAAGCAGACTGAAAATTAATTTTGAAGTATTTTCTGCCTATTTGTAACTTCAAACCCTGTCAAGAGAACAATCTCTTACCTAGACTGCCATCTCACTGTCATAAAAGAAAGAGCTATCCAGTTAGGGACAAAGTCTGACCAAAGAAATAAAGTAGTACCAAAAGCTTCCAGATATTTTCACTACCTTCTAGAGGTAAAAAAACCCCAAATCCAACCAAATAAAAAAAAAAAAAAAAACCAAAACACACCAAAACAACAAACAACCACCACCACATACCTCTATCTGGCACACTTAAAACTGACCCCTGAAATTAATTAATATGGCAGGGGGAGGGAAGGGAAACAGATTCAGAAGGCAGTTAATGGAAACCCCTTCCATTAGCTTCACTTACAGCTAATGTGCTGGTTGCTAATGTGCAAATAAATTAACTTTTAGATTTTAATTTTTAAATCACTCAGATCAAGGTTAGGTTCAGTCTCCTTTGAAAAGCAACCTAAGCTTTGCCACTAATCAAACCTTGACAAAAACTTTAAAGCTTCAAAAAACAGCTGATACTACATTGTTTTTAATGTTTTGACAATTCAAATACAGACTTAGGTTATATTTCCTGAATTTAAACAACAGTTAGAGTTACATTCTCCTAATATTAAGACAATCTAAAGGTATTACTTAGAGCTTAACAAATTGATGTTAAATTAATTTTTTTGTACAGAAATAGCAAAAGACACGTGCATTTTTATTTCTATTAAGTTCAGCCACATACTTCACAAATACAGTAATTCATTCTTTCTTTAGAACTGAAAGGACAAAAATGTATTTTTCTTCAACTGACGTCTGACTGAAACCTTGCCAACGAAAACAGGCACAATTGGATAACTTGGAAAAGAATTACTTATAAAATCAAATAGCCATCTTCTGTGAGCATCTTACCTTTAAATAGGATCCATAATATTTAGTTACATATGGACTGTCACACTGACTCAGCACTGTGATTTCTTGTTGGATGTCTTCTATTTCATCTTCTGCTTCTTCTAGGTCAATAATTTTTATAGCAACCACTTTCTGAGTCCGATTGTCAATTCCTTTAAAAACTTCACCAAAAGAGCCCTTACCAATTTTCTCCAGTTTTGTAAACAGTTCTTCTGGATCTGCCTTCAGAGTCTGTTAAAAATAAGAGAAAAGTTACTCAGTATTTGTAACATTAAAATGAAACATGATCATTTTTAAAGGCAACGAACACTTCAAATTCTACACATTCCTATTTATCCAGCTATTCTTTTTCTGTCTCCATAATTAACGTGTTCTTCCTACATCCCCTATATGCGCACACTGCAACATTTATGCTTCCTGGTATATAAAGTACAAATTTAATACCGTCCCTGTGACAGAGTTTTATCCTATCTTGCATCAGAAAGTGCTGCTACCTCAATTTCTTTTTCTTTGCCAATAAACTGCACTCAGGCACTGAGAATGAAAGAGCCTTACAAAGATTTGGATTCTATTAAAACCAAAATCAAATACCACTACCAATAAAAGCAAACCTTTTGTCTACCCTTTTCTCTTGAAATTGGTTCCTTCCCAGAACCCAGGGTCCTGCTCTCTTGAATTTTTCACATATCTCATCCTCTTAAGGATTTTGTTCCCACTCTTCAGCGCACAGACTACTATTTCCATTTGATGTAGCAAGCAATCCTCTTCAATTTTCTCCTACTAAGGATCACCTGCATGAACTGCCATGCTTCCTCCTTATCCCTGACCCCAAGGTTTTCTAGAGCAGGATTTCTTTTTCTTCTTCTCTCAGTTGGGTAAACTCATTCACTCCTAAAAAACATCCTGTTCCCAGCTATCTTGATTTGAACAGTCACGTGAAAACTACGAGCGCTCACCTAAACATGCAAATGTAAGACCTAGGCGGACCGCTCTGCCATATTTGTTTTTTCTCCACTGTCAAGCATTCAGCTAGCTACTGCTGCTCTTAGACTTCTCACTTTCAGTGCACGGATGGTAAGTTCCACTGTGTACCTTCTTAATCTAACAGCAAGGAGCCTTTATAGCTAACAAAAATATATATAAGTTGCAATTAAACTGGAAAAGTCATAGATAGAGGGAAGAGTCATGACATGAAGAAAAATCGGATAGGATTACTTAGAATCTTTCCCTTAAGAAATAGAACAAACACTTCAAAAGACTTGTTATTGTTCTTAAAAGGATGAGGTTCATGCTAACTAAGTGAAAATACATTGTTGATATAGAAAAAGGCTCATACGAGAAAAAATCAGTAATGCCTAAATAAGCATAAAACCACACAGTTTATACTTAGCCAAACTTTGTAGAAGCATAAAGAGGGGAATGAAAATTTCTAAGTTACCACTGACAAGCACTGAGCCAACATTTTCTCTTTAACAATTAAGTTTAGCTTATACAGCATCTCCCACCTGTACTTCTGTCTATTTCTGCTCTCACATCTCAAAGGTTATGTAATTAACTCATGCAGCCCTGAGAGGAAGATAGTCTAGAAGGTATTTTAGTTTGTCTGGAGGTATCTGAATTTCACAGCTGAATTAGGTGTTTTGAGGACCAGGTAGCTGTGACTGACTGAGCCCAGAGATAAACCCATTCAATTCTTTGGGCAGTGTGTTTGTGGAGCATTCTGGATTCTATCATCATGTGGCGCAAATTGTGAGCACACCACTACTTCTAATGCTTTAAAGTAAGCTGCGAGACATCACAGTTTTCAGATAACCATCCCAGGAATAGATCACTGGCGAGATTGGTCTGAAGAAAAAACACTCTTCTAAGTATACTGCAAGACTTCACCAGCCCCAAGAAGTTCCCCCTCATTGACATCTTACTAATCCATCTTTCTATCCAAAGTCAGTTTCAGGAAACAAACAGAAGGACATGGGATTCTATCACCCTTTTGCCATTAAAAGGAACAGAGCAAGAGATCCAAGTCCCTTCCACCAAAAGAAGCTTGTTCCTCCTTTAATTTCAGTGTAATAAGAATTACATACTATTACACACTATTAAATACTACATACAGAATATGCTAATATATCTCCCACTTGGAAATCAGACCAGGGCACTTCAAGTTTTCCAGCAAGCGTGGTTATCCTTTAGCTACACAGTAGCCCCTACCAATGCTTCCAGGCACATCATTTATAAGAGATCACAAAACTAGGCACCAAATCACGTTGTAGTGGTTCTCCTCATGCCCCACAGAATGCTCTTTTGTCAATATTCAAAACAGCCTTCTCTGAGAATTCTTCATGAATAAAAATAACCTTAACACTTGCATCAGATATTTTCCCTTGTGGAAGACAATTATCAGTCTATGCTTTCACACATACTGTGTTAGAATTTGAGATGACATGCTGTAGAGAGCTGTGCACGCCTAATCCATCCACACAAGCCTTCTAGTTCCATTCACTAGCCACAGGAATCTAAGCATTACATCATTACAAAGGCATTTGGGTAAGTCACAAAGCAATCCCGGTCACAGCTGCCTAAAAAATTCCGTGTTTCACCTCCAGAGACTACAAAGCCAGCACTACTCAAAGTCACAGTGTACTGCAGTTGTTCATATGGAGAAGAATTCCAAGAGTACAAGGGCTACCTGCCAGCAGCTATTTGAGAGCTGTTGGCTGTATGTATTCTGCCCCCATTGTCCCTTTTCCCCCCAGCCCCTCAAACACCTATTACTATCGTCTATTAAAGCCCATTACTTCATGACACCACAATCTCCAGAGACTTGCAGAACTCTCACAGCTTCATTTTCACCGTGTCAAGCACTTGGGATACTGGTACTAGGCTGACAGTTTTATAAGCAACTGCAGTAGAACATTTTCCCAGTCATTTTGTGTTAATAATTACAGAAAAGCAGGAAGATAACTGTGCCTGGAAGTCCTGAGAAGCAGGGAAGAATTGTTCCTGTTTGATTTTTTTTACAATCAAAATTTTGTAGCCATTTTGAAAAATTATTTGTTCAATAATAGCTGGTATTAATATAATTAAATTTATTAATAATAATAGTTCTTTTTCCACATTCCTTGTGAAATTACTAGTTATAAAAAAAAAACTTTTCCTTCCCAAATCAGAACTTCTCCAAATCCATTTCTTAGTTTTTAAATTTTAAAGTTGCCATTTTTGAACTTTGTTCTGAGCAACAGGAGGAGGTGGTAGTAGTAGTTTTAAAAAAAAAAGCTCTCCTGCTCTGTGAGAAGGTCTGAATTTTCTTCTCAGGAGACCAGGTGTTTGAAGTGAGAGCCTTAAACTACTCGCAACCTGTGTTTTTGGAAAACTACCCGTTGTCCCTCTTTAATGACCTGCTCTGTTTCAAAAAGGGACATATCAGGCCTCCAGATACATAATGAACTACTTGAATTGCAATTAAATGAGTCGCCAATTTCCATTCGTTTTTCCAAGATCACAGCTGGAAAGGATTCTCACCCAATTGTTTTTGTTTGATTGTTTTTGTAAATACTTCCAACAGCACCCAAATAATCAAATAGCTTTATAAATATTCTCTCTATATGACTGAATATAGAAAACGTCTTCCATAGTCTGTCACTACAATTTTGCCGATTCTACTCTTTGCAAGTTTTTGCTCAGCATATAGCATTTTCCTATTAATATTAAAATAAAAGGAACTGATGAAAGAGCTTTCACGTAACTAAGCACACCAAATATTGCTAGAAACCACCGAACAGAACAGCAACATCTGCTGCAAAAGGATAAAGCTAATCACCTTGTTTGATAAAGAGCTAGATCTCTACCACTAAAACGCTTCCTTCAAAGTGTGTCACAGAACACGTGTTGTAGCAAATCAGAAACAAATTCTAGAACATTTAGATCTAAAGATTACAGAATTTCTAATTTACATAACCACTTGAATTAGTTAGGGTTTTGTTTTGACTAGTTTCTCACACTTCTGAACACCAATCGCATCCATCCTGTCCCAGTCTTCGGCCTGTCAGCCATGCAGAATAAAGTCCTTTACTTTTCACCATAAGCAGAGCCACCATTCGCCCAATAATTTGAGTAACCTCTCTGTACTTGTTCCACATGGGATTCATTGCTTTTGACCTTAATCAGCCAGAAAAAACAAACTGCACTTAAAATGAACTCATCTCAGTACCTAACATCACTGTTGCCCACTTCTATGGAATAAAGATAGTCTGATACATTCTCAGAGCCTATTTGTTCAATTTGGCCTCATGGCTCAAACTCAGCTGTGACCAGCTAAACCCACTCACCTCTTCCTAATCCTCTGCATTTCCAACGAATGAGCTCCCAGCCTATTGCAAAGGTTCTCTGTAATAATTCACACTTATGACACCTTGCACTTCATGCTATTTTGTTCAGTAATTCAAATCCTCAAGGTCATGTAGTTCTTCAGTAATGGCCTCTCAAGTACAACAGGTGCCTTTAAATTTTGTACCATCAGCAAATTTTATCAGCATGCATTGACTTTTTATGCTAAGGTGACTTTTCAGTCACCAACTGTCAGGAACAATCCTGGAGAAACCAGCAGTATCATCCACTCTGACGTCACCTCTCCAGTACTCTCCTCATAGCCAGGACTATACACGCCTGAAAATGTATTTATTTTTATAAATCTCTAATTCTCATCTGCACTAACTGCCCCTATAGCTCAACAAAAAATGGTACTGAAATTCAAACTACTTAGATCAAACTTTATCCATAATCATTCTGACCCAAGATATAGCTTTAACCGAGTCTTTTTCTGCATCTCATTCCAGTTCTTATTTATAACCTCCTTTTATGAAGGGTTATTTATCCAGTTATTGTAGAAAAGGGTTAAAAAACTATTTTTCTCTTTAACTTACAAGAATTACAAGCCATCTCTGTATTCAAGTTCTCAAGTTTATTTGGGCAACTGATTTTACTTGCAGATCTCAGATTTCTCTATGCCTGCTCTTTTGAAATACACAATCACCTTTCAACACCTCCTTTTGTACAGTTTTCATTTCACCAAATCAATTTCTAATTAGTCAGTCCAGTGC